CCCTGTCGGCCGTTACCACCCCCAGCTCCCTCAAGGTCAGTCCAGTCACTTCAAGGATGCCATCCATCCATCTTGCCCTTGGTCGGCCCCTCTTCCTTTTGCCTTCCACTTTCCCCAGCATAATTGTCTTCTCTAGGCTTTGCTGTCTCCTCATGATGTGGCCAAAGTACTTCAACTTTGTCTCTAGTATCTTTCCCTCCAGTGAGCAGTCGGGCTTTATTTCCTGGAGGATGGACTGGTTGGATCTTCTCGCAGTCCAAGGCACTCTCAGCACTTTCCTCCAACACCACAGCTCAAAAGCATCTCTCTTCCTTCGCTCAGCCTTATGACTATGCTGACTATAGAGCTTAGTGCAACCTAGAATATCTCAAAAGGTATTGGAGTGGGAGGAAGGACCCGTGGGTGGCCTTGGGCTGCACCTGGCCCTCCAAGGCTGTCTTTGTGGCCTTGGACCTCTCCTGCCTGGCCTTTGTCTGACCAAAAAAAGGTATAAGGCTTCTCTTGGAAGGCAATGGAAACAGCAATTCACCCTTGTAGATAAATGGCAGCCACTTCCTGTGCATTTTCACATCAGTAATGGTTTCCTTTTAACCAAACTTCCTGTAATCTGGGTTGTTGTAGGTTTTTTCGGGCTGTATGACCATGTTCTAGAGGCATTCTCTCCTGACGTTTCGCCTGCATCTATGGCAAGCATCCTCAGAGGTAGGGAGGTCTGTTGGAACTAGGAAAATGGGTTTATATATCTGTGGAATGGCCAGGGTGGGTCATTCCTGTAATCTCTTTGTGGATGTTTTCAGAGAGTCCCAGGGGAAGAATACTGGCACTCTGACCCACAGCTATTGCTTCTCCTCTCTCTACAATTGCAAGGGGCAACACCCAGGGGCCATCTAGTCCAACTGCATTCTGCCAAGCACAATCAAAGCACCCCTGACAGATGGCCATTGAGCCTGTTTAGAACCTATCAAGGAAAGAGCTTCTACCAAACTCGGAGAGTTCCACTGCTGAACAGCTCTCCTTACGGTCAAGAAGTTCTTCCTAATACATTTTAGGTGGTATCACCTTTCCTGTAATTTGAACCCATTACGCTGAGTCCTGGTTTCCAGGACAGCAGAAAACAAGCTGGGGTCTACCTTTTTAATTTTTTCCTGGCTTTAGCTTGTTATGTTGCTGTATTTATAATGTATTGATAAGCACCTGTAGCAGTGTTTCTCAACGTGGGGGTCGGGACCCCTCTGGGGATCGCGAGGGAGTGTCAGAGGGGTCGCCAAAGACAATCAGAAAACACAGTATTTTCTGTTAGTCTTGGAGGTTCTGTGTGGGAAGTTTGGCCCAATTCTATCCTTGGTGGAGAACAGAACACTCTGATTGTAGGTGAACTATAAATCTCAACAACTACAACTCCCAAATGTCAAGGTTTATATTCCCCAAACTCCACCAGTATTCACATTCAGGTACATTGAGTATTCATGCCAAGTTTGGTCCAGATCCATCATTGTTTGGGTGCACAGTGCCCTCTAGATGTAGGCGAACTACAACTCCAAAACTCAAGGTCAATGCCCAGCAAACCCTTCCCATATTTTCTGTTGGTCATGGGAGGTCTGTGTTCCAAGTATGGTTCAATTCCATTGTTGGTGGATTTCAGAATGCTCTTTGATTGGAGGTGAACTATAAATCCCAGCAACTACAACTCCCAAATGACAAAACCAATCCTCTCCACAATCCCACCAGTATTCAAATGTGGTTGTATTATTGGATATTGGTGCCCAGTTTGGTCCAGTGAATGCAAATATATCCTGCATATCGGATGTTTGCATTACGATTCATAATAGGAGCACAATTACAGTTGTGAAGTAGCAACAGAAATAATGTTATGGTTGGGGGTCAACACAACATGAGGAACTGTATTAAGGGGTCATGGCATTAGGAAGGTTGAGAAACACTGATCTGTAGGGTACAACATAATTCTCACATCCACATTTCCATACCTGATAACCACCAGTTCAAAAAGATATCTGCAAGTATCTGCCAAGTTATTTATTTATTGTGTCAGAAGCAAATTGAGAATAGAGTTATAATGTATAAAAAAACCACAAACAAAGTTTGAAAACTTGGCATTATACTAAATGTCATTTGACCAGTATCTGGCCACTTGGAGTGCCTCTGGTGTTGCTGTGAGAAGGTCCTCCATTGAGCATGTGGCAGGGCTCTGGTGGTCAGTGGTTTGCTCTTCTCCGCACTCGCATGTTGTGAATTCCTCTTTGTGGCCCCATTTCTCAAGGTTGGCTCTGTATCTTGTGGTGCCCGAGCGCAGTCTGTTCAGCGCCTTCCAAGTCGCCCCGACTTCTGTGTGCCCAGGGAGGAGTCTCTCATTGTGTATCAGCCATTGGTTGAGGTGCTGGGTTTGAGCCTGCCACTTTTGGACTCTCACTTGCTGAGGTATTCCAGCGAGTGTCTCTGTAGATCTTAGAAACCTATTTCTTGATTTAAGTCATTGATGTACTGGCTGATACCCAAACAGGGGATGAGCTGGAGATGTCTCTGCCTTGGTCCTTTCACTATTGGCTGCTACTTCCCGGCGGATGTCAGGTGGTGCAATACCGGCTAAGCAGTGTAATTTCTCCAGTGGTGTAGGGTGCAGACACCCCGTGATAATGCGGCATGTCTCATTAAGAGCCACATCCACTGTTTTAGTGTGGTGAGATGTGTTCCACACTGGGCATGCATACTCAGCAGCAGAGTAGCACAGCGCAAGGGCAGATGTCTTCACTGTGTCTGGTTGTGATCCCCAGGTTGTGCCAGTCAGCTTTCGTATGATATTGTTTCTAGCACCCACTTTTTGCTTGATGTTCAGGCAGTGCTTCTTGTAGGTCAGAGCACGGTCCAGGGTGACTCCCAGGTATTTGGGTGCGCTGCAATGCTCCAGTGGGATTCCTTCCCAGGTAATCCTCAGAGCTCGGGATGCTTGTCTGTTCTTAAGGTGAAAGGCACATGTCTGTGTTTTAGATGGATTAGGGATCAGCTGGTTTCCCCTGTAATAGGCAGTAAGAGCACCTAGAGCTTCGGAGAGCTTCTGTGTGTGTGTGTGTATGTGTGTGTGTATATATATATATATATATACACACACACACACACACACACACTAGCTGTCCCCTGCCACGCATTGCTGTGGCCCAGTCTGTTGATCTGGAAAATAAAGGAATGAGAAAGTGTTGGTTTCTAATATATGTAATTTATGCTTGTGGGTAAACAGTATTTTGTGTTGTTTCTTTGTCAGTGTTGATGTGGAGAGTGTCTGGCTTGCCCACCCTGGAACATGCAACATATCATTGTCCTTCTGTAAGGGTCCCTTTCAAATCTCTCTCTGTGTGAATCATATCTATCTATCTATCTATCTATATCAATGGCTGGATGGCTCTTTGTCAGGAGGACTTTGATTACATTTTCTTGCCTTGGTAAAGGGAGTTGGACTGGATGACCTTATGTATTTTCGGTTGGTCATGGGGGTTCTGTGTGGGAAGTTTGCTCCGATTCTGTCATTCGTGCGGTTCAGAATGCTCTTTGATTATAGGTGAACTATAAATCCCAGTAACTACAACTCCCAAATGTCAAGGTCTATTCCCCCAAACTCCATCTGTGTTCATATTTGGGTGTATTGAGTGCTTGTGTCATGTTTGCCCTAGATCCATCATTGTTTGAGTCCACAGTGCTCTCTGGATGTAGGTGAACTACAACTCCCAAACTCAAGGTCAATGCCCACCAAACCCTTCCAGTATTTTCTGTTGCTCATGGAAGTTCTGTGAGCCAAGTTTGGTTCAATTCCATTGTTGGTGGAGTTCAGAATGCTCTTTGATTGGAGGTGAACTATAAATCCCAGCAACTACAACTCCCAAATGAGAAAATAATAATTTTTTGAGTGATGGTCACTCCTTGTGTTGTGAGACGTTTTGTTGCCAAATTTGGTGTGATTTCGTTCATTGGTTCTTTTGATTTTAAGGCACTCATTATGCACAGAGCATTTAAATATATATACATATAGATATAGATAGATATATTTAGATTAGATTAGATAGATATAATAGATTTACACCTCTCTTTTGAGCCTAACTTCCCCCATCAGTATAACAATCACACATTGGCCCTCTATGAATCCCGTGCCGCCCTTTCCCACATTCCTCTCTCTTTCCCCGCGTGTCCTGGGGTCTGTTTGTTTACCCACCTCCCGCGCCTGCGCAGTTGGGGAGAAGCAGTGGCGGCTGCGACATTCGGCGCATGCGCCACTGGGGTGCCTGGGAAAAAAACTACAGTTCCCAGAGTGCTTTGCAGGCATCAGTTTCAGGCAAGTGGAGCCATGTGATCTTTTGACAACTGTCCATATTGGGAAACCCTTTTAAAAAGAAAAACAAAAAATGATTAAAATTCTTCTTTGCACAAAGAATGTGAAAGTATTGGTTCCAAGCGCGGATTTACTTAAATTATATTAAATTAAATTACAGCTTTGGCAAGTGAGGCTGTTTTCCTCTTTTTTAGAAGACTAAGCCAATGCCTGAAAAAAAAATGGCTTGTTCTTCGAGGCAGATTTTTGGCAGTTGACGAAAAGTGTATTATTTAACACATCCAATGCGGGAAACTATATCTACTTGGCTTTTCCTTTGCGACTTTAAATCCCGAAATAACGCTCCTGCAGGCGCCTGAGTTAGACAACCCTCCACCGAGAAGGACCCTCACCCACTCTGAGGAGAAAAATTAGATCCGAGTGCTGAGCTTTGATTGGCTGTGGGAGCTGCCCTTCTGCTTTTCTATTGGTCGAAATCCAAATCAGGAGGCGGGAGGAAGAAAAGGAGGGGCGGCTTGTGAGGAATTGGTTCTGATTGGTGTCCGATCCACGCGGCTCGAGCGGTCGCCGCGCTCTGATTGGCTGTCGTCGAGAAGAGGGGGCGTGTCTTAGATTAGCCACACCCACAGAGTATATAAACCCAGCGCTGAGGGGGGAGCGTGCCATCGCAGGAAATCGGGAGGCGCGAAGCGTTCTTCGTTGGACGGAGCGCTGGCTGGGCTGCGCATGCGCTGATCAAGAGGGCGGGGCGTTGTGGGTGCTTTGTGCGCCTGCGCGACGGAGGCTGGGCTTGAGCGCGGAGTGCGCCTGCGCGAGAGAGAGCAAAGGAAGGGAGCAGCCGAGGGAGCGCACTGCGCACGCGCAGAAGGAATCTGAGGCAGAAACAACGTGAGGCGGGCTGAGGAGAAGGAAAGGGCTGCTTCTCTCCTCTTCCCCGGCTGGCCTGAGGGATGATCGAGATGGCGGCCGACAAGGACGCCTTCCGAGTCCCGGCCCCGCCTCCCCCGCTGCCTAAACCCCCTCCGAAGGGGCCTACCACCTGTGGAGCCGGGGACTTGCCTAGAAATGCAGCCGGGAAAGGAGGCCCCATGGCGGGGAAGGCCCAAGGGAGCCGTGGAGGTGGGGATGGAGGCCTCACAGACCCCCAACGAGGAGTGGAGGCCTCTGTGGAGGAGGGAGAGCTCCACAAGCCTCGTAATGGCTTCCAGGCCCCTCCACAACCACAACAACCACAACAGAGGCCCAACAAGAGGCGCAACAGCTGCAATGTCGGTGGAGGAGGAGGGGGTTTCAAGCACCCCGCTTTCAAGCGCCGCCGGAGGGTCAACTCCGAGTGCGACCCGGTCCTCCCGTCTGAGTTCCTCCTCGGCGGGAACATCTTCGACCCGCTCAACCTCAACAGCCTCCTGGACGAGGAGGTCAACCAGGCCCTCAACGCCGAGACCCCCAAGTCGTCGCCGCTGCCGGCCAAAGGCCGCGACCCCGTGGAGATCCTCATCCCCAAGGATATCACTGACCCGTTGAGTCTCAACAACGCCCAGGAGGACCCTCCCGTCTTGGCTTCACCCGCCAAACGCAAGCGGCACCGGCACCGAGGGGCGCAGAGAGGGGGCAGCACCGACGGAGCGGGGACCAAGGCTCCCGCGACACCCGCCGCCACCGCCTCGGCTTCCTGCCAGAAGTCCAAGCCCTGCAACGGGGCCACCCCCCAGCCGTACGAACTCAACACCGTCATCAACTGCAGGGATGAGGTGGTCTCGCCGCTGCTTCCTGCCGGACACGGGGAGCCCCAGCCCAGCCACCAAGGGGTTTCCACCGGAGGGGGCGTCACCCCCTCCTGCGTCTCTGTGGCATCGTCCGCCAGCACCGGGAGCCGGCACCACCGCAAGCGGCGCAGGACTTGTAGCAAATCCGAAGTGGCGGCCGCGCGGCATCAGGGGCCTTCCTCGGCCTTGGAACAGCCTTCCCGGAGCAGCCCAGAGAGAGCCCGCAGCGCCCCCCGCTCTCGCCACGCGCCCCCCGCCTCCGCCCGCCGACAGCCCCGGCACAAGTTCCAGTACGGCAACTACTGCAAGTACTACGGATACCGCAACCCCGACTGTGAGGACGCCCGGCTGCGGGTGATGAAGCCGGAGTGGTTCCAAGGTAAAGAGGTGCTGGACGTGGGCTGCAACGTGGGACACTTCACCCTGAGTGTGGCCAAGAAGTGGGGGCCTGCCCGCATGGTGGGCCTGGACATTGACGGGCACCTCATCCACTCGGCCCGGCAAAACATCCGGCACTACCTCTCCGAGGAGCTCCACCAGCAGAAGCAGGAGAGCGACGAGGGTCCGAGCAGCACCGCGGCCAGAAAGACCTTCCCTGCCTCTCTGATGGCCAGCCGGGGCCCCATTGCTGCTCCGAGGGTCCCTCAGGAAGGGACGGATGCCTCCGTGTTCCCCAACAATGTCATTTTCATCAAGGTAAGGCAAGGAGCCCCCTGATGGCATAGTGGGTGGTTATTATTATTATTAATAAACTTTATTTATTATCTCCCCTCAGGGTGGCTAACATGAGGCCAAGCCCAACGAATACAGTAAACAAATAATAATTAAAATTAAAATCAAAATTAAAATAAAGTTCAGTAATAAAACAGTAACATACAAACAATAACATACGCTCTGAGTCGCCTCTGGGCTGAGAGGGGCGGTATATAAATGTGGTAAATATATAAATAAACAACAAAAAGAAATTAACATAATGGGAAATAACACTGGGTATAAAGTAAAATAAAATTAGGGATAAGGGATTAATCTGAATGGGTTATTATTATTATTAGTATTAAACTTTATTTATACCCCACTACCATCTCCCCTCAGACTCAGGGAGGCTAACATGAGGCCAAGCCCAATGAATACAGTAACAAATAAGATACATACAGCAAATCTGTATAAATAAAAATGTAATATTCATTTGTGGGATTAACATAATGCAAAAACCACTGGATGAATTGACACCAAATTTGGACACAATACACTCATCAGGGCAGCAAATGACCCTCACTCATTAAAAACACAGCAGAAGAGACTTAAAAAGCCAAATAACAAAAAATACACTACAACGCATGCTTAAAACCACATATAGATGCGCAAACACACATATAGACACATACACACAAACATATACACATTAAAAACACATCTACATAGACTGGGCCACAGCAACGCGTGGCAGGGGACAGCTAGTAATAATTAAAATTACAATAAAGTACAGCAGTACAACAATAACATATAAACAAGAAAAGAAATTGACATAATGGGAAATAACACTGGGTATAAAGTAATATAAGATTAGGAATAAGGGCCAAGGTGCAAAGATAAAATCAAGGGACATAGGAAAGGATAGGATAACCGAAGCAATTTAATCACTGCGAGGTACAGGAGGGGCAAGCTATGGGGCTTAATTACTCGCTAGGAATAAGGTGAGGTGCATCAAGAGGACGAATATATGCTGGGACTGTCATAGTATGGGGATCATTGTTCATTCATCAAAAGCAAGGCGGAACAGCCAGGTTTTCAAGCTTTTCCTATAAGCTGACACGGTGGGAGCTAGCCTAATCTCCCCAGGTAATGACATCCAAAGCAGGGTTAAATAAATACAATCCTAGAGTTGGAAGAGACCTCGTGGGCCATCCAGTCCAATCCCATTCTGCCAAGAAGCAGGAAAATCACATTCAAAGCACCCCAACAGATGGCCATCTAGCCTCTGTTTAAAATCCTCAATAGAAGGAGCCTCCACCACATAAGATAACACTTAATGTCTACATAATAATTAATAATAATGATAATAAAATAAACATATAAAACATTACAATAATACAAAATATGTAATACAAAATATAATAATAATAACTTTATTTGTATTCAACCCTATCTCCCCGAGGAGACTCAGGGCAGATTCCAACATACAGCGGCAAACATTCAATGCCTCCATAAAACAAATACTGAGATAATCCCAGAGAATCTCCACATATGAAAAAAGCATTAAAACCTAACATCCCAGTAAAACCTAACATCAATAAATTAAGTCTAACATCAATAAATTAAACTGGACGTAGTGGAAAAAATTATAGCAAAATCTAAGCAAACATCCACGTTAATTTGCAACAGCCAACTAGAGGTGTGGGTTGGTTGTGCAGTCGAGTGATGGTTATTGGGCTAGCATGGAATAGGAGAGCCCAAATACAAAATAGTTCTCAGTCAGGGCCCAGTAATGATCTCTTATTATTTAATGCTCCCCCTCTCCATACGCTATTGAGCAGAAGTAGGTCTTCAGTTGTTTTTTGAAGCAATCTATATAAATAAAAATGTAATGTTTGTGGGGTTAACAGAACTCAAAAACCACTGGATGAATTGACACCAAATTTGGACACAAGACACCTATCAGGCCAACGAGTGACCATCACTCATAAAAACACACAAAAAACCCAGCAGAACAGACTTAAACCCTCCAAAATAAACTATATACATATACACTCATATACATATACACATGCACACATACATACAGACACACACACATATATTCGCATATATATATAGCACACACAAATATACACATACATATACACATGCACACAAGCATGTACATACACATATATTTACATATATACATGCACATATAGACATACATACACACATACATATAAACAACCACACATATGCAAACACACACATATATACAAATATATATACACACATACACATATATACACACACAGAATATATACATTGACTGGGCCACAATCAGTGTATATATAAATAAAATGTAATGTTCGTTTGTGGGATGAACATAACTCAAAACTCACTGGACGAATTGTCACCAGATTTGGATACAATATACTGGTCAGGCCAACAAGTGACCATCATTCATAAAAACACTCAAAAACACAGCAGAAGACACTTAAAAATCCAAAATCAAAAAAACCACATATATACACATTTATCCACACACAAAACACATATACACAGACTGGGCCAGAGCAACGCATGGCAGGGGATGGTTAGTATAATAATAATAATATAGCAATATAATAATTATGAGCAGCCTTGGGTGGCACAGCAGGTTAAACCGCTGAGCTGCTGAACTTAGAATCATAGAGTTGGAAGAGACCTCATGGGCCATCCAGTCCAACCCCCTGCGGACTTCGGTCAGCAAGTCCAACTTGCTGACCGAAAGGTTGGTGGTTCGAATCTGTGAAAGCTGGGTGACCTTCTGCAGTTAGCCCCAGCTCCTGTCAACCTAGCAGTTCGAAAACATGCACATGTGAGTAGATCAATAGGTACCGCTTCGACAGGAAGGTAACGGTGCTCCATGCAATCATGCCAGCCACATGACCTTGGAAGTGTCTGTGGACAATGCCGGCTCTTCAGCTTAGGAATGGAGATGAGCATGGGCAAACTTTGGAAGTTGAACTTGGGCTTCTGGGTATTTTGGACTTCCACTCCCACAATTCCTGGCCTCAGGCCCCTTCCTGAGGGCCTGAGTCCAGGAATTGTGGGAGTGGAAGTCCAAAACACCTGGAGAATTGAGATTTGTCTATGCCCAATCATACCTATGGCAACTGTGTGGTTAATCCACTACATGTATAGGCATGCCCTCCAGGAACGGTGATCTGGCTTTAGGGGCGGAGCTTCAAGGAAGAGGATCACATCCTGGGTCATGTGCTGCTTCTGATTGGTCTTCCATCCGAGGTGGAGGCGGGAGAAGTTCCTCAGGTGGATCCGCTGCACCTTGCTGAGATGGCAGGTTGCAAGAGGAGGGGGTCTTGGACTCACTGGAGCCAGGGGGCAGTCCTTATTTGAGATACTCTTTGGGAAGGGAAGAAACCATGCTGGGTAAAACAGTCTCAAAATACCAGATCTTCGGAACCAGTGGTTTGCTCCTAGATGTGTAGGGTCCACCAGACGAAATGGAAAGGAGGGTTAATTCCCCAAGAAACGGGTTGTTTATATCGCAAAACGTAATGAATTGGTTTTGGGACAAACTCTGCCCTAACCTTCTACTGGTGGTTTTGTTGTTATGTGTCTTGCAATTGAGTTAAACCAGGCATTATTATTATTATTATTATTATTATTATTATTATTATTATTATTATTATTGGGTTGCTGTGAATTTTCCGGGCTGTATGGCCATGTGTAGGAGCATTCTCTCCTGACATTTCGCCTGCATCTATGGCAGACATCCTCAGAGGTTGTGATGTAGTTTCTAACAGACCTCACAACCTCTGAGGATGCCTGTCATCGATGCAGGTGAAACATCAGGAGAGAATGCTTCTGAAACATGACCAGACAGTCCAAAAAACTCACAACAATCTAAAACAGGTATGGGCAAACTTTAGCCCTTTGGACTTCAACCAGGCATTATTATTGTTATTGGGTTGCTATGAATTTTCCGGGCTGTGTGGCCATGTTCCAGAGCATTCTCTCCTGACATTTCGCCTGCATCTGTGGCAGGCATCCTCAGAGGTTGTGGTGTAGTTTCTAACAGACCATACAACCTCTGAGGATGCCTGTCATAGATGCAGGTGAAACATCAGGAGAGAATGCTTCCGGAACATGGCCAGACAGTCCAAAAAACTCACAACAATCTAGATCAGGCATAGGCAAACTTCAGCTTTCCAGATGTTTTGGACTTCAACCAGGTATCATCATCATCATTATTATTATCGGGTTGCTGTGAGTTTTCCGGGCTGTATGGCCATGTTCCAGAAGCATTCTCTCCTGACGTTTCACCTGCTATGGCAGGCATCCTCAGAGGTTGTGATGTAGTTTCCAACAGACCGTACAACCTCTGAGGATGCCTGTCATAGATGCAGGTGAAGCATCAGGAGAGAATGCTTCTGAAACATGGCCAGACAGTCCAAAAAACTCACAACAATCTAAAACAGGTATGGGCAAACTTTAGCCCTCCAAGTGTTTTGGACTTCAATCCGGCATTATTATTATTGTTATTGTTATTGGGTTGCTGTGAGTTTTCCGGGCTGTATGGCCATGTTCCAAAAGCATTCTCTCCTTACATTTCGCCTGCATCTATGGCAGGCATCCTCAGAGGTTGTGATGTAGTTTCCAACAGACCTCACAACTCTGAGGATGCCTGTCATAGATGCAGGGGAAACATCAGGAGAGAATGCTTCTGGAAAGTGGCCATACAGACCAAAAACTCACAACAATCTAGATCAGGTGTGGGCAAACTTCAGTCCTCCAGGTGTTTTGGACTTCAACCAGGCATCATCATCATCATCATCATCATTATTATTATTATTATTATTATTATTATTATTATTGGGTTGCTGTGAGTTTTCCGGGCTGTATGGCCATGTTCCAGAAGCATGCTCTCCTGGTGTTTCACCCACATCTATGGCATGTCCTGAGAGGTTATGAAGATGCCTCACAACCTCTGTGCCTGTCTGTCATAGATGTAGGTGAAATGTCAGGAGAGAATGCTTCTGGAACATGGACATATACCTTGCAAAATTCACAGCACCTCAGTGATTTCAGCCATGAAAGCCTTTGACAACACATTATTAGTATTATTATTATTATTTATTTATTTGAAACACAACAAGATGAGTCCACAGCAGACACTCCTCTGGCTGTTGTATTTGATCACACTTCACAAATGTCTAGGACATAATGCAAATAATGCGTGCAGATCACAGTAAGGAGGCCTTCTGTAGATGACAGATGGTAATTTTGTCAGCACCAATTGTGTTTTAAGTGCAGGCCAAGGTCTTTAGGCACTGCACCCAGTGTGCCGATCACCATTGGGACCACCATTATTATTATTATTATTATTATTATTATTATTATTATTATTATGTTTATTTATATCCTGCTTTTTCTCTCCATACAGTGACTCAAAGAGGCTCACAACTCAAAGCATTGTACTATAACTTAAAATATAAAATATCCTCTTAGGAATTGTGGGAGTTGAAGTCCAAAACACCTGGAGGGCTGAAGTTGGCATATGTGTGTCTTCAAGTTACCATTCTAGCTGATTCCCTGCCATTCCCTTTCCCCCAGCTTCCAGGAGGTCCATTTGTGTGACAAATGTTTATCCCTCTAAGCTGTGTGCAAAGGTTGATGCTCTCCTAAGGTTGGGCTGGCTTCAGAGCCCTCAAACGGAATCGCTGAGTGGTCAGTTCTTCCAGGCCAGAGATAGAAGGGAATGGGAGACCATTGGCTTGATCTTTTCCAGCTGTGCTGCCCTGCTATATTCTCCCTGGTTCCAGCAGCCCCTTGTTTACCCAGTGCTGGAGCAGAGCCAGACCCTTTTCAAAGTGGGAGCTGGAAACCCAGCCAGTGGCAGGTGACTCCCCCGCTGGTATCTGGACTCCTCCAAGTAAAATCACCGAGGGAGGGAAGGAGCATGCAGCCTTGGGATAAGAAAGCTGCACAGAGGGCTTTTGCCCAACTTCCACTGAGCTAGAATGGCGTGGTGTAGGCATGAGCGAACTTTGGCCTTCCCTCCAGGTGTTTTGGACTTCAGCTCCCACAATTCCTAACGCGTTGGTGTGGCCCACATGGGGGTTCTGTGTGGGAGGTTTGGCCCAATTCTGTCGTTGGTGGGGTTCAGAATGCTCTGTGATTGTAGGTGAACTACAAATCCCAGCTACTACAGCTCCCAAATGTCAAGATTCTATTTTCCTCAAACTCCACCAGTGTTCACATTTGGGCATATTGAGTATTCATGTAGAGTTCGGTCCAGATATATCCTTGTTTGAGTCCACAGTGATCGCTGGATGTAGGTGAACTACAACTCCAAAACCAAAGGACACTGCCCACCAAACCCTTCCAGTATTTTCTGTTGGTTATGGGAGAACTGTGTGCCAAGTTTGGTTCAATTCCATCGTTGCTGGGGTTCAGAATGCTTTTTGATTGTAGCTGAACTATAAATCCCAGCAACTACAACTCCCAAATGACAAAATCAATATTTTTGAGTGATGGTCACTCCTTAGGTTAGTAGGTGTCTTGTGGCCAAATTTGGCGACTATTTGTCCAGCAGATTTTGAGTTATTTTAACCCCACAAACGAACATTACATTTTTATTTAGATAGATTATTAATTATTTATTCAGTTAAAACATTTATAAATATTTATATTTATATCAATAGTTACATAATATTTAGATACATTGGGTTGTTAGGTGTCTTGTGTCCAATTTTGGTGTCAATTCGTCCATTGGTTTTTGAGTTATGTTAATCCCACAAACGGACATTGCATTTTTATTTATATAGATTGTTGTTATTATTTTACTGACACAAAAGCACAGTATGTCACAGCAAATGAGATCTATATGCTGGATTTCGTATAAAAAAATCATAGAATCATAGAATCAGAGAGTTGGAAGAGACCTCCTGGGCCATCCAGTCCAACCCCATTCTGCCAAGAAGCAGGAATGTTGCATTCAAATCACCCCTGACAGATGGCCATCCAGCCTCTGTTTAAAAGTTTCGAAAGAAGGAGCCTCTCTGAGGAAGCAGAAAACAAGCTTGCTCCCTCCTCCTCCCTGTGGCTTCGTCTCACATATTTATACATGGCTATCATATCTCCTCTCAGCCTTCTCTTCTTCAGGCTAAACATGCCCAGCTCCTTAAGCCGCTCCTCATAGGGCTTGTTCTCCAGACCCTTGATCATTTGAGTCGCCCTCCTCTGGACACATTCCAGCTTGTCAATATCTCCCTTCAATTGTGGTGCCCAGAACTGGACACAATATTCCAGGTGTGGTCTAACCAAGGCGGAATAGAGCATGGGGAGCTTGACTTCCCTAGATCTAGACACTTCCCAAGCGTCTTTATTATTTTTGTAATTGATTTTTATTGCGTTATTATTATTATTATTAGGGATGTAAAACGAGCATGGACCACCATAGCCAGGTCTGACTTCCCTCCTCTTTCCCCACAGGGCAACTACGTTCTGGAGCGGGACGAGCTGTTGGAAGCGCAGCGGCCCGAGTATGACGTGATCCTGTGCCTGAGCCTCACCAAGTGGGTGCACCTCAACTGGGGGGACGAGGGCCTCAAGCGCCTCTTCAAGCGCATCTACCGCCACCTGCGCCCCGGGGGCATCCTGGTCCTAGAACCACAGGCCTGGTCCTCCTACAAGAAGAGGAAGAACCTCACGGTGAGGCTTCACCCTCCTCCTCCTCCTCCTCCTGCTGTTGGCTATCTGTATCTCTTCTTCTGGCTGACCCTCAAATGTCAGTGGGGAGGGGAAGGCCTGCACTGCTAGTGACCCTGGGCTCCAAAGCATTTGCAGGAGCGATTTTGGGGAAATTAGAAAAATGGACCTGACAAAGCAAGGGGTGGGAGCAGAATTGGCACGGACAGGGTGGAAGGCGGTTGCGGTCCAGAAAAAATCAAGAGTCTCCAAGGCACACAGAACTGACCCTTGTGGGGTGGAGCACTGCTGGGTTGGATGATGATATAACAATAACAACACTATGTAATACTGGGTTGTTGTAGGTTTTTTCGGGCTATGTGGCCATGTTCTAGAGGCATTCTCTCCTGATGTTTCGCCTGGATCTATGGCAAGCATCCTCAGAGGTAGTGAGGTCTGTTGGAACTAGGAAAAAGGGTTTATATATCTGTGGAATGACCAGGGTGGGACAAAGGACTCTTGTCTGCTGGAGCTAGGTGTGAATGTTTCAACTGACCACCTTGATTAGCATATAATGCCTGACACTGCTTAGAGCAAACTTTTGTTGAGAGGTGATTAAAACAGCAAAACAGCAGAGAGGAAACAAACAAGGACATCTAATCACCTCTCAACAAAATATTGCTCCAGGCACTGTCAAGCCATTATATGCTAATCAAGGTGGTCAGTTGAAACATTCACACCTAGCTCCAGCAGACAAGAGTCCTTTGTCGCAGATGGTGGACGTGTTCTGAGGTCGGGCAGATCGGGACTTTGGAACAACCAGGTTTTGTGGCGTAAGGGGGGGAGCCCCCACCCGCTGATGGTCGGAGATCACGGGGAAATACCTTGGGGTGCCATCGGCCGACGGTGTCGAAGAGACATCCCCCTCAAGGGGGTGTCCAAGACGCCCGGCAACGGGGCACACCAGGAGAGCACAATCTCGAGGTAGGAGGCCGCGGCAGCGTTAGCCTCCGAACCGCCATCGACCACCAACACAAAGATTGAAAGAACGGAACCAAGAACTTCAAACACAAATGCGACCAGTTTAACCGGGACTGTGCAACCGACAAGAATTGGAAAGAGGTGAAAACATCTACCGATCGGCAAGACAGGAAATTTTAGATAGATTACGATCCCGGAGCGCCATTCATTGTGAAATTATCAAAGGTAAGCAGTATCAAGCATCAAAGAGCAAGTGTACAAGGCGAGGGTCAGAGAGAGTGTGGAATAGAAAGGAAAAGAAGGTGCAAAATAGAGAGGGGGACAAGAGAACGGGAGAATTAAGGAGAATTAAGAAACGAGAGGGCCGAGTGTAAGGAGAAGAAGGGTACAAGAAAGAAGGGCACAAGAAGAGAAAGAAGAACGAAGGATAGTGGGATCTGTGAAAGTAAGCCACCACAGCCAGGTTGAGCAGATCGCTCCCTCCCAAAGGGACAGCAGAACCGCGAGCCCCGTGCCCGGAGGACCGTCCGTAAGGCAGGGACAACGGGCGTGCGGAGGCCGGAGGTATAGCGGGCTGTGGTGAATAGAAAGCTCAATACGATCCCAAAGAAAAGGAAAGCACAATACGGCTCCAAAAGAGAAAAAGAGAAGAAAAGAGAAAATATGGGAAAAAATTGCTAAACTGTGTATACAGACACTCGAAGATCCCGCTCCCCCACCCCCTCTACAAAATCCACAACGCTCGTTTTCTGCACTCCACATTACCCCACACTACTCTAACCTTGAAAACGCGGAGAGTGAGGGACAGCAGAGAGGTGGAAAATCCACTCCTATCGGAGGACATCCAAACTCGTCCTTGGAAAGACCTGCCTCCACCCACGCGAAGGAACAGTAAACAAATAAGAAGCAAGCCGCAAGACCGGACTCCAAGCAATCGCGAGATAGTTCGGGATTTCGTCGGCGAGCATTAAGATCTCAGAGGAGTTCCCGCGAGAAGAGGCAGCCCAGGGACGAGAATAAAGTAAACCTCGCGAGAAGCGAGTGTTTGAGAATAATAAGGAAGCAGGAAGGGGGAATAGGCGCAAATTGCGACACAGCGAAGGGCGCCTTCCCCAAGGAGATATCCAAGGAATAGGAAGGAAAACAGGACCGGAAAAGTACAGGAAAGAAGAAAGTTTAAACGGCAGAGCGGCAACAGAAGGGCAAGAGTGGAGGAAAGTGCACAGAAGGAAGGCGAAAAGGTGGAAAAAGGTAAGGAACCCAACCATCCAAACTAATAATAACTAATAATAACGTTGTTAGACTGATCAAGGATCAAGGATAATAAGAAGACAAAGCTGAACACTAACTCATAGAAAAATAGTTGTTAAAATAAAGATGGCAACGCAAAGTACTAAGGGGAAAAACTTACAGACAACCAAGGGCCAAGCGAGGAGAGACTCTCTCTGTAAGTTAGACCCCACAGCAGAAGGACAACTGAAGAAAGACCAACCAGCAGAGGACTCCGTATTAGACAACATTTTAGCTGAAATTAAAAAGCTCTCGACTAAACATGAAGAACAACATAAAGAATTGAAGACTGAAATACAAAATATGAAGAAAGAATTGAAGGAAGACATCTGCAAAATAAAAGAGGACGTGGACAAGATGAAATTAGAGAACCAGAGAATAGCCAAAACCCAAGGGAAAATGGAAGCAAAAATTTCTAAAGTTGAAACGCTCACATTAAAATTACAACAACAAACGGAAAGATTGGAATTCAGAGAGTCAGAATTCCAACTTAGAATACGAAACCTGCAGGAACTAAAGGATGAAAATGTGAAGCAAAACTTAATTGAACTTTTTGCAGAACTACTTGAGGTGAGCACGGAAACCATTGGGCAGGATGTCGACCGGGCTTATAGGGTGCCGACCGGGTATGCAAAAAAACGCAAGACCCCTCGGGATGTGGTGGTGAGTTTCTGCCGTAAGAGTACGCGGGATGAAATCCTTAAAGAAAATACGAAAAAATCATTATTTTTCAAAGATCAAAAAATAACGATCATGAAGGAAATCCCCCAACAAGTCCTAGCGAAGCGAAGGAAATTCTACTTCCTCACAGAACAACTAATAAAGAGAAAAATAAGGTTTCGGTGGGAAAAAACAGAGGGGATAACGGTCACGCTGAACGGAAAAAAATATTGGCTGAACTCGGAAGAGAGCGCCCGGGCCTTTTATCACTCGCATATGAAAGACAGTGCGTCTGATCTTAAGCAGAGGAAATTCCACAATAACCCAAAGAGAGATGACCTAAAAGAAGAGAAAAATGACCCCAATACGGACAGAGAAACGGAAGACGAGGAAAATGAAGGAGGGAGAAGTGTACTTAAATGGACAAGGGACCCACTGGAAGACGAAGAAGCAAGAGAACAGAAAAGGTTGAGAGAGTTCTCACCCGAGAACTACCAATTGGTGGTACCGCAGGAGATGCTACAGTGGGAAATGCCGGAAAGCAACTATGAACAAGAAAAATGTCAGAATATACTCTAATAATATCAATGGGTTAAATTCGCCCAGTAAGAGGAAAAAACTCTTTAACTTCCTAAAGCAAAAAAACTATGATTTAATAGCTCTACAAGAGACCCATATAGCGGACAGGCACGTAAAACATCTGACCCAAGACAAATTAGGAAAAACATTTCAAGCCTCTTACAAGGAAAAAAAAAGAGGAGTCGTGACATACGTTAAAGAGTGGCTAAGTCCAAAGCAATTATTCAGAGACACTCAAGGAAAATTTTTAGGAATAACAATTAAAATTAAAAATCAACTGGTTTTAGTGTGCAACATTTATTGCCCAAATGGGCCAAAAACTAAATTTATGAAAGAATTGGTCAAAGAGATAAATAAAACAGAATATGATGAACTAATCCTTATTGGCGATTTTAATGGGGTGGTGGATGGGTCACAAGATAAATCCCAGCATAAAGGAAAAAAAAACAGAACTACAAATAGATCTGGCCTATTACCCAAAAAACTTATACAACAATTAGAAAAATTAAACCTAATAGATGCTTGGAGACACCATAATAATAGAACAAATGATTACACATTCTATTCAGGGAGACACGATTCGTGGACACGAATCGATATGGCTTGGATTAGTAATTCACTTAATACAAAAATTAAGAAAATAGAGATAATACCAAGGGTTTTCTCGGACCACTGTCCACTTGAGCTCCTAATCAGAGGAGAAGATATATCATATAGATGGAGATTGAATGAAAATTTGCTAAGAAAAGACATAGACATCGAGAGGAATAGGAAATTATTAGTGGAGTACTTAGAATTAAATAGGGGAGAAGAAACCGCAAAAACTACCCAATGGGAAGCAATGAAGGCAGTCATGAGAGGCTACCTGATACAGCAGGAAGCCATAAGAAGGAGGGAAAAAAACAAAAAAAACACGGAAATAATGGAAAAGCTAACGGAAACTGAAAACTCCCTTAAGGAAAATCCAAAAGACAAAAAACTATTACATACTGCCCAAATGCTCAGAAAACAATTGGATTTACTACAAACAGAAGAAATAGAGAAGCAAATGAAGTTTACTAAAGTATATCATTTCCAAAATGCCAATAAGATTGGGAGATGGTTGGCCATAAAAACTAAAAAATGAAAACAAAAACAGATAATTACAAAAATAGAATCTAAAGGAAGAACATATACGACGAATAAAGATATAATGGACCAATTCCTCCAATTCTATCAAGAACTATACAAAAAAATAAATATCCCACCTGAAAACATCTCAAAATATCTGGGCAACTTAAAAATACCAAAACTAACGGACACACAAAGGGAACTTCTGAATGGTAATATCACTCCCTTTGAAATAGAAGAAGCAATTCGAAAACTCAAACGGAATAAAGCTCCAGGCCCGGATGGCTTCACTGCCATTTTTTACAAAATATTTAAGGATGAATTGAGTCCTTTACTAAAAGATGTTCTGAATAATATCCTAGAAAATACAGAAATACCAAAATCATGGGAAAAAACTAATATAG